GGGATCCCAGCGCATTCAAGGCGAGGACTTTAGCTGCTAGGCCACGCCACCAGGCCCTCAACTGTACTTTTAAATACAGGTTCGATATGAATCAGCTAGAACAACATGGTGATCATGCAGGGAGGTTCTTTCAAAGTATTATGCAAGGGGCACCACCTCTGGAGCCACTTATTACCTGTATGGCTTTGATTCAGTTCTACCTTTCTGTTCCTCAATGCCTTCATGTGGGAAATGGAGATAATAAAGGCAAATATTTCTTAAAACTATGTAAACATTACATATGAAGAGACACCACTGTGGCATAGCAGTTGCCTATGATACCACCAGTATTCCATGAGTGCTGGTTAAAGTCCCAGCTGCTCCACTTCTGATCCAGCTCCCAGCTAAAGCACTTAGAAAGCAGAGGAAGATGACCCAAGCTCTTGGGTCCTTGCCACCCATGTGGGCAATCTGATTGAACCTCCCAGCTATCCCCTCCCTGACTGTTGTCATCATTTGAGAATAAGCCAGAGGACAGAGGATGAAAGATCTCTTTCCTTCTTTCTATGTAACTCTACTTTTCGCATTGAATAAATCTTTGGAAATAAAAAAAAAAATTAAATAAGCTAATATATGTAAAATGTGTACAGCAGTGCTTGGCACAATATAAGCACTATTAAGGTTTTTTTAAAACTCTCCTTACAATTACCAACTGGTAAATCCTATTACTGTTTTCAAGGATAGGTAATCTCAGAATGACAATCAGATTTCAGGTTTCTGTGACTCCTGAACCACTGTTCTTGGCACATAGGTGTGACCTGCCATGTATGATTAAACTTCAGCGTTAAATGACACAAATGACAAACACACAATAGTGTTTGTAAAAGATTGAGTCTATTCCCTCTGATCCTAAATGTCACTTTCCAGTACCTGCAAAGATGTCTCAACATTATGTCCCAGAAATGCCACTGTTCTGCCCCTCAAAAGGCAGGACAGGGCCTGGTGCAGTGACCTGGCAGCTAAAGTCCTTGCCTTGCACGTGCCCTGATCCCATATGGGCGCCAGTTCTAATCCCAGCAATCCCACTTCCCATCCAGCTCCCTGCTTGTGGCCTAAGAAAGCAGTCCAGGATGGCCCAAAGCCTTGGGACCCTGCACCCGTGTGGGAGACCTGGAGAAAGTTCCTGGCTCCTGGCTTTGGATTGGCGCAGCATCAACTGTTGTGGCCTCTAGGGGAGTAAATCATTGGACAGAAGATCCTCTGTCTCTCTTCCTCTCTGTATATCTCACTTTGCAATAAAAATAAATAAATGCATTTTAAGCAGGGCAATGTAGGACTGTTCAAGGAAAATACAAGAAGCTCTTTTTTCCATCTCTTCATTTTTCACAGAAAGCTTTATGCCCACCACTCAAGGGAAAAGAAACTCTACACTCTTGAGGTAGGCTCACACAAGCATCTGAATGCTACTCCCAGGGCTTCGTGAAGTTTCCAATTTTTTTTAAAGGTTTATTTATCTTTATTGGAAAGGCAAATTTCAGAGAAGGAGATAGAAAAATCTTCCATCTGCTGTTTCACTCCCCAAATGGTTACAACAACCAGGGTTGAACTGATCTGAAGCCAGGAGCCTCTTCTGGGTCTCCCACACAGGTATGGGATCCAAAGGCTTTGGACCATCCTCAACTGCTTTCCCAAGCCACAAGCTGGGAATCGGATGGGAAGTGGAGCAGCCAGGACACAAATCGGCAACCATATGGGATCCTGGCACTTAAAGGGGGAAAATTAGCCAATCGAGCCATTGTGCTAGGCATAAAGTTTCCAACTTTTAATGACTGATTCCCACAAATTTAGTTGAAGAATCAAGATACGCAAACACTATAACCATAATATTTGGCAAATGACAATAAATGCAGCAGGAGAGATGCAAACATGTAAGCAGAACTTTCCACATTGCAGCCAGCTAGGCTTGCTGGAAGCTCATCATTCCTCTCTCCCTCTCTTGCACACACACACTCCCCACCATCTCAGCACACCTGTAAACCGGCCCATCAGCCCTGCCACAGGCTCCTGTTGCAGCCTCCTCTTGGCTCTCTTGTCAGGCGAATCCTTTCCCCTTTCCCCTGCTCTGGCTTTGGGCCTTCACGTTGGTGCTAGGGCTGCAGAGTTCTTCCTCACAGACTGGCTGCACTGCTGCCTGCTCTGTTACTCTCAGCCTCTGCTCAATGTTTTCTTCAGAACAGCTTTGTCTGACAATCCATAATTACACACATTTGGAGCATGCTTCCAACCCTGTATGAATGAGCACCTGCTTCCCCAGCACACTGTCGGCTCAGGAAGGGCAGGCGCTGTGGGCCTTGCCCTGCTGCACCCAGGACACACCGGGTGGTGAGCAGAATTAACAACATCCCGCAAGGAGGCAAAAGAACAAGTGAGAAACTCATCCCGTCTCCACACACACTGGACACAAGTTATTCCACATCAAGCTGTCAGCATGATAGAAATACCAAACAAAACAGACATATGGATTATATGCTCCTTTGGGAGAAAAAAAAATGAAAATGAACACAAACTCAGATTGGGATATGTATGTGAAATTATTATGTGTGGGGCTGGTGTAGTGGCATGTCTGCTAAAGCCGTTGCCTGTGACACTGGCATCCTATATGGGTGTTGGTTCATGTCCTGGTTACTCCACTTCTGATTCAGTTCCCAGCTAATGTCCTGGGAAAGACCGTGGAAGATGGCCCAAGTGTTTGGGCCCTTCCCACCCTCGTGGGAGACCCAGATAAAGCTCCCGGATCCTGCTTCAGCTTGGCCCAGTGCCGCCCACTGTGGCCAGCCGGGCTGTGAACCAGCATATGGAAGAGCTTTGTCTCTCCTTCCGTCTCTGTAACTCTTTCAAAATAAATAAATAAATCGTTCCAAAAAGTATTATATACCAAACCACAAAAAAAGTTGCTTTTGAAAACAAGCTTCAGAAAAAGGAAAAGTAGGGATGTCTCCATGAGAGCTGGTCATGAAGCCCACCTCTGCTCTCTCCAGGAGCCCAGCTCAGACAGCTGAGCGGAGGGAACGAGAATGCCGGTGACTTCCCAGGCTCTTCCTGCTCCTTCCCAAAGGAAGACACCCACCAATGAAAGAGAATGTGCTGAACCCCAGGTCCAAGGCCTGTGGGGTGATACACGGCTGCCTCTGATCAGCACCCCTCTTCATCAGAGCTTCCATCCTGGCACCACTCACAGCATTAACTTCTCATTTGGGGTGGAAAAGGAGACTTTTCCACCTGAACAGATGGTCTGGCCATCACATGACACAGTCTCCAAGATCCTTGTACTAAACTCTGCTGAAAAACACATACCTCCGTATGTTCAGAGGGGGAAGAACATTTCACTACATTACTAAGAAACAGGCACAAAACTATCGAGACAGTGCGGAGAAGAAGCAGTGAGTAAATAGAAGAGGATGGGGGAGGGGCGAGTACAAGAGTGTTGAGCATGAGATAAAAAAGGCACCAGAAAAAAACCACATGTGATGCAAAGGGGTGAAGGGCCAGCAACTGTTCATCATGGAACTCAGAAGCACCTGGCAGAGCTTTGCAACCTCAGGGACCAAATCGCTCGGCCTCAGCCTCTGGCAGCGGCCACACCAAAGCCCAGCTCTTCCTCTGCCTCCAATCTAATTGTTTTATGTCACTCCAAGTCCTCACCACAAAGGCCAGGCCTTCCAAGTAAACCTCTCTCCTCAGGGCCTACCAATGACCTATTGACCCTAGGAGAACTCAGAGCCAACTACAGCATGCAGAGGGAAAGACGCCAAGTCCAACAGGCAGGTACAGGGTGGTAGCTGTGTGACATCCTTAAAGTTGCTGTGCCAACAGATCCTCTCATAGCAAACCATCCTGGAAACACCCAAAGCTCAGGGTCAGTGCTGTGGTGCAATGGGATGAACTGCTAACACGGTTTCAATTGCTGAAACTCCACTTGGGATTCAGCTCTCTGCTAATATTCCTGGGAAGACGGCCCAAGTGCTTGGGCACCTGCACTGGTATAGGAAACACGGTTGAGGCTCCTGGCTTTTGTTGTCATTTTAAGAGTGAAATCAGTCAATGGAAGGTCTCTCTCTGTGTGTAAACCTAAGTTTAAAATAAATAAATAAACCTTAAAAAAAAAATCGACCCAAAGCACTACCACACCATGACCTGGAACAAAACAGTCCCATGAAAGGATGGGGATAAAACGCTGCCATTAAACTGAAATCCTTAAGACCATTTCCATGACAGACACCCCCCCTCCCAAAAAAGTTCAATTCTTTAAAACTTTCCAGCACAGATTCCTGAATATCATAAGCTTCGATTAATCAGACCCCGTGGTTGCCCAAAGGAATCATTGCTGCTTCTGAATCATTGCTTCAAAATATGCAGAAAGCACTTCCACAAACTGCAAGGGACTGCAGGGTACTATTTTAAAATCCGTCTCCGTGGCAGGACAAAGAAACGGCTCCTAATACCTGCCCTTCGTTTTACCGTCATTTCTAAGTCTTTTATACAAAACACAAAGAAAGGGTCAGTGAGAAAAATCAAAACTCCCGCGCCCCCTGTGAGAGCTGGCGATCCTGTGGAGCTATAACTCCGATGCCCTGGTCTCCCCGCTGGACGACGCTGCAGGTGACAAAGGGAAAGTGGCCCTTCCCCAACTGCCATTCATTTGAAAGAGTCCAACCCAGCAGGGGGCCGGGCCAGGTCAGTAGGGCTCTCCTGCGGGGAACCGGCGAACCGCGGGGTTCAGGGCAGAGGGGAGGGTCCCATCTGCGGCCACCGAGGGCGGTGCGTCTTTCAATTCACCCCAAATCTCAGTCTCTTGTCATCTCCCTGGAAGAGGAAGGGCAGCGATCGCTCTCACCCAGCGCGTTACAGCAGAGAAAAAACGATTCTGGGATTTCGCCCCGCAGCGTGCTGCCGTCCACGGACCCAGGAGGGGACCGCTGTCCCCTCGCCGCCCCGGGCCGCCCGGACAAAGGGCCACTCACCGCTCAGATAGTTGGTCCACTTGTACAGCACCCCCTCCATGGCGCCCGCGCCGCGCCGGGGCCGCGCGCCCACTCCTGCCGGCGTCCTCACTGCCCCGGGGCCCGGGAGGAGATCCGTGGCGGCGGCAGCAGCAGGGCCATCTCCTGGCGCGGCCCACACGCCCACTGCCGGCGCCCGGGTCGGGTGCGGGGACGCCCGGGGGCCGCCTCACATTCTCGGCCCGGGGGCGGGGTCACTGCGGCGGCCTGGGCGAGAGAGGTTGCGGGCCGGCGGGCGGGCGGGCGGCTGGCCGGCCGGTGGGTCCGCGCCGAGGGAGGGACCGAGGCCGCTGGCCCGAGGAGCAGGTCCCGAGGGAGGCGGCGATCCAGGCGGCCCGTCGCGGGCGGGGCCCCCGCGCGCTCCCAGAGCCCTGAGCCCCGCGATGCCCGGAGCGCGCTCGCGCATGCCCAGTGCGCCGACCGCGCGCACGTTCCCCAAGTCCACCCCGGGCTTTCCCGGCGGCGGCGGCGGCGGGCCTGACGTGGTCCGAGCGGCCAGCGGGGAGTTGGGTCCAGCCGCGGCGGCGTGGCCCGCAGGCCGTGTCTGAGAAGGCGTGGGCGAGGCCCGGGGACCCGCGTGGGACGCAGCTCTGACTGTCCAGGGAGCCGTGGCTGGGTAGGGCCCCACGTCCTGAAGTTGAGGCTCTGCGTAACCCCTTCAGGCTACCGCACCGGTTACCTCACCTTGAACGCTCCGAGATCCCATATTGCTGCCGGTTCTAATCCCTGGCGGCTCCACTTCCCATCCAGCTCCTTGCTTGTGGCCTGAGAAAGCAGTAGAGGATGGCCCATAGCCGTGGGGTCCTGCAGCCATGTGTGAGACCTGGAAGAGGCTCCTGGCTCCTGGCTCCTGGCTTCAGATCAGCTCAGCTCTGGCTGTTGTGGCCACTTGGGGGGGTGAACCAGTGGATGGAAGATCTTTCTGCTTTTTCTTCTTTCTATAAATCTGACTTTCCAATAAAAATAAATAAATCTTTAAAACTAGAAGTTTTCTATTTGAAAGGCAGAGAGAACCCTTCCATCCGCTGGTTCCCTCTTCCTTATGGCCTCAAGGCCACCAGGAACCTGGGACTGCATCCAGGTCTCCCAAGCAGGGGCGAGAGGAGCAGGTGAGGCTGGGCCCTGGCTCGGGAGTGGCAGTTGGGAATTGGCACTCCAGCATGGGCTGTAGGTGGCGCAGGTAGCAGCTTTACATGCTGCACCACAGCCCTGGCTCCTTTCCTAAGAGCTTTTGACCAGGAAAAGTGCTATTGTAGGTAAAGTAGAGAGAGAAGTGCGAGACCTCTGCTGGGAATGAATGGGCCCTACGAAGCCTGCTAGGCAGACCTGGCAGAACCCTAAGGGGGACAGAGCTCACCTGTTAAGATGTCTCTTGGGGCAGGACAGGGCAGGGGGACTGGTTCGAGTCCAGCTTTCTGTGAGTGTGGATTACTGATGACTCAACTTGTTGGGTGCCCACCACTCCCATGGGAGACCCAGATGGAATCCCAGTGTCTAGCTCTTGGCTTCGGTCTAGCCTAGCCCTGGCCTGCTGCAGGCTTTAGGGAATAAACCAACAGATCAAAACACATTTCTCTCTCATCTTTTCTGCCTTACAAGTGGGAATAAATAGGAAGATGGAATTTAAGATGGACCTACCAATCTTATCCACCAGCCCAGTTTGCTTTGGTTAATGTGAGCAAAAGGTCTGCTTTTATCCACCATCTGCCTGGGCAATGTCAAGCAATCCTTTGTTCTTCATCTGTGCATTCCTCATCCGTTCCCAGAAATGCCCTCCTAAAATTAACTGGTAGACTTTTCAAAGACAATACCCTCCCTATTTCTGAAAATGTTTTTAGCCAATCCTGTTCTGGTCTCTTGCAATTAAAGGCCTTTTGGGGACCAAGCCAGTGTATATGCTCAGTGTGACATAGAGTTTTCAGACACTTCAGGGGGCTGCATTGTGGCATAACAGGTAAAAGCTGCCTCCTGTAATCTTGGTGTCTTGTATGGGTGTTGACTCAATATCTTTGTCTCACCTTCCCTCCAGAAACCTGATCTTCCTTTATAATAAAAACAAATAAATCTTGAAAATACTTTTTTATTTTAAATTCAGATTTTACAGAGAAAGAGAGAGAGAGATCTTCCATCCACTAGTTCACTCCCCAAATGGCCACCATGGCCAGAGCTGGGCCAGTTCAAAGCTGGGAGCCAGGAGCTTCTTCCAGGTCTTCTATGTGGGCGCATGGTCTTGAGGCTTTGGGCCATTCTCCTCTGACTTCCCAGGCTATTAACTAGGAGCTGGATGGGAAGTGGAGCATCCAGGGCATGAACCAACTCCATCGCTAGATAAGAAAAAACGTTGACCACTTCAAAACACTTCTCAGAAGGCATTGGAATTTATTGAGCATGTATCTCCGTGGCCTAGGTCGCTTGTATTGTGTCCTGAATTAACCTCATCTTAACCTTTTTATATCACCCACGTATTTCTGAGGACAGTGTACAACATGGTCTAATAGCTTTTGATGGATGTCACAGAGGCAGACACCGGATGTTAAAGTGATTATGTGTGGATGGTGGCTTTATAGAAAATCCTTGTTCTCCTTGGCTGTAAGAATACCAGTACATAAAAGTCTAATACAATTATTCATTGTTGATCTCAAACTCAACTCTAGTTTCCCCTCCTGGATTTTATCTGGAAATCTTCAGTGCTTTCCACTGTCTTCCAAATCAGTTACAATGATCATGTAATTAATTTAAAAGGAGAAACGTTAAGCTCAGCCTCCATTGTGTAATCCGTCACCGTGGTAACCAGTTCTCAAGTGGGGGCCAGCAAGTTCTTAGCCCCTATTTATTTACCCTGCACTCAGAGGCTACCACATTCCCCGGGAGTGCAAGGGAGCAGCCATGGCTGCAGGTGCAGCTCCAATGCTTTGGAACCCAAAGACTATAAACAGGAAGCCTCGCCATCTCCGCTGCCTTTGAGGGGTTGGAGGGATGGCAGTCTACATACTGTGAATTAATAAGCACCAGTTACCCCCCCTCAGGTGTGGGGTCCTGGAGGGCTGCTCTCCTGCTGTGAGAGTAAACGATTCCTTCCTGAAATCTGGCCACTGCCACTATTCTTCCTACCTTCCGGTGCCCCCCTCAGACCCGGGCTCTATGCTAGGGAAAAATCTGCCCCACCCCTCTCCCAGAGTCCTTGCTGGTGGACTGCTTTAATCCGACTGGCCCTAGGACCACACGGGGTGGTTTGCCTTTCCCCGGCTGCTCCGAGGCATATCCTTGCAAAGGACACCGTTGCTGAGTCATTGGCTAGAGCGGTATTTGATGGACAGCCCCTTAGCCAACTGGAAGCCGTTCTTCCCAGGAGGCGGCACCGTAAGAGCCAGTCAGTGTGGCCCGAGTTTGGGCTTAACCCTTTAGAGGCGAGTTCGCCCTGCACGGGAAAGTTGTTGGTAGTAAAAAGTGCCACGTCTTCCAAGCTGGAGTCCTGAACTTGCCGGGCCCTTGAACTACATTTCCTCCCCCGCCCCCCATTCGGTAAGGTCAGGGCCCGTCTGAGTTTCTGTAGGGACATTTCTCTGGGCCAACGCCATGAGGTTTTTGTTGTGGAACGCAGTCTGGACGTTGTTAGCCACGTCTTCCAGCGGAGCTCTGATCCCCGAGCCCGAAGTGAAAATCGAAGTTCTGCAGAAGCCGTTCATCTGCCATCGCAAGACAAAGGGAGGGGACTTGATGCTGGTCCACTATGAGGGCTACTTAGAGAAGGACGGCTCCTTGTTTCATTCCACGTAAGTATCCTAGCGCCCTACTGAAGGACGATCGCACCCTCCTGGGCTAGCGTTCCAGTGGAAAAGTTAGCTTGGACCTGATTTAAACCTGCCTTCTCTGGGGCAAGAAACATGGGGCCTGGATAAAGTAGTGAACTTTTTTTTTTTTTTTTAAGATTTATTTTATTTTCATTACAAAGTCAGATATACAGAGAGGAGGAGAGACAGAGAGGAAGATCTCCCATCCGATGATTGACTTCCCAAGTGACCGCCACGGCTGGTGCTGCACTGATCCAGAGCCAGGAGCTTCTTTCAGGTCTCCCAGATGGGTGCAGGGTCCCAAGGCTTTGGGCCATCTTCGACTGCCTTCCCAGGCCACAAGCGGGGAGCTGGATGGGAAGTGGAGCTGATGGGATTAGAACCGGCGCCCATATGGGATCCCGGCGCATTCAAGGCGAGGACTTTAGCTGCTAGGCCAGGGCGCCGGGCCCAAAGTCGTGAAGTTTTAAAAATTATTATTACACAGACCTACAATCTTTGAAATGTTGCAGAAATAAGCAACATTACTAACATTAGGCAGTAAGTACAAAAAAAGTTCTCATCTCACCAATTCCATTTCTTAGGGAAAAGGACTTAAATTCCATTAAAAAAAATCGCTGTGGGTGATATGTACTCAAAACTGCCACAGCAAAATATACACTCATTTATTCCCGCTGCTAAGGATGCACTAACGTCCATTGGCCCATCTGACTTTGGTTCTAACAGCTGCCATCAGGACAGTTTGCTTCTTTCTAGAAAGTCAGGCTTGGTTGGTGGCGGTGGAGGAAGCTTCCGGGTGATTCCACCCCACGCCTGGGCTACAGGCACCCAAGAGGCTGAGGAGCACCCCGGCTCGGCGCCAAGCATTCAATTCCAGCCGTACATTTTGCGAGCATTTCCTCTGTGCTGTCGGCCAGCAGGAGTCTGAGATCAGCCCTTCGGTCTTTTGTCCAGGAGGAGGGGAAAGTAGACAACACAGGGCATGGAGCCGAGGCCAGCATGGCACAGCTCTGCCAAAGCATGCCTGCGCAGTTACAGGGAGGTGGCAGAGGGAAGGCTTCCCAAGGACTGTGACTGAGATGGACCCTGAGACAACAGGGACACGTTTCCAGGCGGAGGACCAAGGGTGAGGGAGGAGGGCACTGCGGGTCAGAAGGCCCTAGACCTCGAGCTCCAGTTTCTGTCCAGTCTCACAACCGACTTCTGTGACAGCCACGGGGCTATTGTTTACTAATCTGCTACTGATGTTCTAGTTCCTGAGGAGGGACTGTGGTGAATGGTCAGGAGCTGCTGGAGAATTATGCAGGAGCAGCATAGAAGGATTCAGTTCTAGAACGTGTTTGGTAGCTCAGTCCAAAGAGCTTCAGGCAGAACGGTAGCTGGTGCTGGGTGGCTGGTGGGTTCTTCCTTCTGCATCACTTCCTAGCCTCCCCCAACTTGATACTCTTGGCCTTTAGTTACCTGGATCCATGGGGGAAATGAGAAAAGACTGGAAGAAATGGCATTTACCTAGACTTACCAGTCCTGGTGCCCACAAAGCTTGATAGAGTGACTTCCTGTTCTCGCTCACAAGATGCCCTTGACCAGGACGCTTCCCTGATTGTACTGAGAGACGGACGCTAGGCTCGGACATGACCTGGCCTCAACTCTGACAGTTGCTCCGTAGGTTGGTTTTCTTAGGTCGTCTCTCTTTGGCTCATGGACACAGGACTTCTTATGTATTTGTGAGTGGTAGACAGTGGCGCTGTTCTCTGCTTCTCTCTCTAAATGTCTGCAGCAGCCAGGGTGGAGCCAGCTGCAGCCACGAGCTGGGAACTTGAGCGAGGTCTTTGATGGGTGGCAGGGCATCGGCTCCTAGAACAATCTGCTGCTGCCCTCAAGGGTGCACACGAGCAGGGAACGGAATTGAAAGTGGAGCTGGGATCTGATGTGGGAGGCAGGCATCCACACCACCAGACCAAATGCCCGCTCCGTGCCAGGTCATCCTGACTATTCCACAGGGGGTCATTTTTCCAGCCTCCTTAGCCTAGCCCTGGAGACAAAGCTGGACAGAAGCAGAGTGGTGATCCAGGAGTACGGAGCCTCAGAGCCACCTGCAGGCTGTTCTGGAAAGCTTTTGAGCCCCCTGAATCTTTGAGTCCATCAGCAGGGTGGACCCTCAAGTGTGCATAGTAATTCTTTTTGGGCTTCAACCTCCTTCCCAAACTCAGCCAACTTCCCGCTGTTTTCTCTCTGCTGTGCAATTTCATGGCCCTCCTAGCAGAGCATAATTTCATGGTCAAAACTTTGGAATTAGTGGTAACATTTGAGGTCAAATGATTAAGCCCCTGCCTGCAATGCTGCTGGTTTGAGTTCTGTCTGCTCTACTTCCTGTCCATCTTCCTGCTAAGGCCTCTGGGAAAGCGGTGGGATATGGTCCTGCTCTTAGACCCTTGCCTCCATGTGGGAGATCCAGATGAAACTCTTGACCATAGCCTGGCCTAGCTCCAGCTGCTGCCACCAACTGGGGGAGTAAACCAACTCCTGGAAGATCTCTTGAGCTCCTTCCTCTCTCTCTCTCCCTTTCCGTAACGGCCTTTCAAATAAAGAAAACAGTTTTTTAAAAAAAGAAGAATGATGGGCAGTATTGAATTAGTATGAAGTTGAATTCATTGTGTGTATATATATATAAAGAATAGCTAATTTTTGTGGCCATCCTAGCCTATAATCTCAGCTATTTAATGAGTGGAAAAACATGCCCCACAGCAGTTAAGGGGTAAAACATCTTGCAGAGGTGCTAACTCAGCTTCCTTCTGTTGTAGCCACAAGCATAACAACGGGCAGCCCATTTGGTTTACCCTGGGCATCCTGGAAGCTCTCAAAGGCTGGGACCAGGGCCTGAAGGGGATGTGTGTCGGAGAGAAGAGAAAGCTCACCATCCCTCCCGCCCTGGGCTATGGAAAAGAAGGGAAAGGTAGGAGCACGTGGGCATTTCCTGCTGCGGCACTGCGGGTCTCTGCTGAGGGAGACGGGAGGCACAGTAACTACCACGCATCTGTATATGTTCCCGGGATGAGACAGGGGTTCCTGTGTGTTAAAGAAAAATGGGTTTGTATTTGTCTTCACTGTCAGCTGAAAGGTCTGATTAAGGTCATAATGCTTAAACGGGCAGTTTCTGGACCCCTAAGCCCTAGTGGAAGCTCATGGAAAATGGAATTCAGAGGTAAGCTTATTTTGGTACAAAAGGCTTCTGACGTCCATGCGTGGGGTTTTTCACAGTGCGTGTGAACTTTTGCGAGACTTCGGTGCAGTTGAGTGTGATTGGGCCCATTGCTGCTGTGTACCCATCACTGCCACCCACCTCTACAACGTTTTCAACCCCACCCAAATGGAAATTCACCCACTGGTCTCTCACTGCAGCAAGGAACATCACTCAACACAGGCAGTTTGATGAGCTAAACATTTGAAATGGAGATTTTGAACGAGGATTTAGAAGTGGGCTGTATGTGGCTCCTCATGCTGGAGGCGCCCACTGCAGAGCTCTCACTGGAATTCTTTTCTTGCCTGTTTTAAGATGTATCCATAAGGGTTTTAATATTTTAATAAATAAAAATAATAGCATGTGGTAAAATGAGCTTCATTCTCTGTCTTGTCCAAAGCAGAAGCAAGCCGGCCAGTCAGTTCAGAGAGCTTTTGTTTTAGCTTGTTTCTGGGCAAAGCACATGCCCTTGGCTCAGGAGGAAACTTGTGAGGTCTGGCTAGGGTCATTTGGTGATTTATGTCCAGAAGGCTGAAGATGTTTAAATATAATTACCCTGCTATCCCTTTATTGAAATCTAGCCTAGGGGAATACACAGATATCTGGAGAAAGATTTGTGAAGAGGAATGTCTGTTTTGATTTTAATAGCAAAACATTGGAACCGACCCAAGTGTGTAATGATATGATCAGTTAGATAAAATACAGCCCAGTTATTCAGTGTGACTTGTTCGAAGATTTGAAAATGTGTGTGATGTAAGAGAATGTAGAAACTAAAGTAGATATGAGAAGTATGATGCTGACTATAGGAACAATACGGCATGTGCTTGTGGAAAATTAATCACAAGTAAACAAACAAGAGAGCTGACATGAACTGAGAAACTGGGAATTTTGTTTATCTTTCTATCTTCCAAATTCTTGACAGTGAGCACATATTTCTTAGGTAATGCAGAAAGCAAATGTTAGAGTGCTCACTGGAACCAGATGGAGCAAATACATACCTCACCGCAGCAGCCTCAGGGCTCAGCCGAACCATTGCCCAAGCGTGGCTCAGCTTTCCTGGCCCCAGTCTGCTCAGCAGGAAAATTAGGTGTACACCTCGTGGGAAGCGTTCTGTACTCTGCCATGGGACTGCCTCCACCCACCTCACTCACAGCATAGGATTAACCAACCCAATTCAGTTCTTACTTTACTCATCATCCTCTTGAGAAAAGAAAGCCAAATATCCAAAGATTCTCAGAAATATTCTTTAACTTTCCTGGATCTCCCTTGTCTCACCTGTAACGTTTCTATGTGTATTAGTCTGTTATTTTCCTCCATGCTGTATTAACTCAATTTAGCTTCATAACCTGTTAGGGATCCGAAGTGAAATGTCATGGAACTAATCCTTCTCACTTGTACTTAACCACTTGTTTTGTAGTCTTTTAGTGCATGCTCGCATGGGCTTCCCTTGGGAGGACACCCGTTGTTCCCACGCCCTAGCACTGTCTAGGTCTAGAAGCATAAGATCCTGCATACGTGTAAGTGGTTGTTCTCTTTGGAACAAATGTGCTTTCCTGGGAATGCCTGGGCTGGGGGGATGACTGAGAAATACTGAGTGTGTTGACCTAAACCTGTATGTGAAACAGTTGTAAGGAAACAAGTTTGAAAAAAAAAATCATACTTCCCAGAATGCTTTTTCTTTAAAGATTTATTTTTATTTGAAAGACAGAGTTACAGAGAGGTCTTCACTTGCTGGATCGTTCCTCAGTTAACACCTGAAGCTGGTGCTTTCCCAGGCCACAAGCAGGAAGCTGGATTGGAGGTAGAGCAGCTGGGGCACGAACTAATGGTCATATGGGGATGCTGGCGCTGCAGACAGAGGCGCAGTCTCTTACGCCACAGTGCTGACCCCAATCCTTGGGATTTTTAGTAAAGCCCTTTTCAGTTAAAATTTTTCAACAAATCTACAATACAACGTTCTCAACCAGCTGAGGCTGGGCCAGGCCAAGGCAGGAGATCTTCCATCTGCTGATCCCGGTCCCCCACGTGGGTGGCAGGGACCATCATCTCTGCTCCCTCTGCATTACTAGGAAGCTGGGCTGCAAGCATGTGCAGGAACTGGGATCTGGGATGTAGGCATCTCACGCACTGTCCTAACTGCTGTCCCAGAAAGCTCCCCGATGTTTTTGAAATGTTGAATCTTCTGAAATGATATTTACAGTGTTTTGGGAAGTATTACCATCTGCATGTTACAGTTGAGGAAGCTAAGGCTTCCATGAGCAGATGTCAGTGTTGACCCAAGACAATGTGAATCCAAGCTCTCCTCGTGTCTACTGCCTCCAAGTGGTAGAAAGGTAGTACTACTGTGAACTCTTGGTCCGAATTCAACAAAGTTAATACATTGTTAAAGTAATTAATAGGGTCATCTAAAATCCTTCAAGTTACTCTATTTTTCTTTTTAAGAAAAAAATTCATTTCTTTTCTTAAAAAGATTTATTTTATTTATCATTGGAAAGTCAGGTCTACAGAGAGAAGGAGAGACAGAGAGAAAGATCTTCCATCCACTGGCTCACTCCCCAAGTAGCCGCAACAGCCAGAGCTGAGCTGATCTGAAGCCAGGAGCCTGGAGCCTCCTCCAGGTCTCCCAAGCAGGCACAGGGTTCCAAGGCCTTGGGCCATCCTCTGCTGTCTTCCCAAGCCACGAGCAGGGAGTTGGAAGGAAAGTGGGGCAGCTGGGATATGAACAAGCGCCCATATGGGATCCTGACAGATGCAAGGTGAAGACTTTAGCCACTAGGCTACTGTGCCGGGCCCAGATTTATTTCTGTATGTGAAAGACAGAGTTATGGAGAGGGAGAAAGAGATCTTCCATCTGCTGACTCACTTTCCCAGATGGCCACAGACACAGGGCTGAGCCAGGCAGGAGCTCAGCACTTCAACTGGGTCTTCAGCATGGATGCAGGGGCCCAAGCACTTGAGCCATAATCCACTGCTTTTCCAGGCATATTAGCAGGAGCTGGATTAGAAGTGGAACAGCTGTCAGCCTGAGCTGGTGCCCATGTGGGATGCCAGCTCCACAGGCATGGCTTTACACACTATGCCACAGCGCCAGTCCTGATGTGTTCTGTTTTTTTAACTACTAGGCCAAAACCAAGAATGTTTTCATTATGGTGGTTTGCATTATTCCTATATTTTACTCTATTTTTGTAAGTGAATTTTATAGCACAAGTCATGTTCATTGTATAAACAAACTTAAGAAGACTTTTAATTCAGTTCAAAGCATCTACTGTTTGAGACTATACTTTTCTATTATTAAAACTTTCAGGTTTTTTTTTTTTTTTAATAAAACTTGCCCTCTCTGTTTATGGATCAGGTAAAATTCCTCCCGAGAGCACACTGATATTCAACATCGACCTCCTGGAGATTCGAAACGGGCCGCGATCTCACGAGTCCTTCCAAGAGATGGATCTTAATGACGACTGGAAGCTCTCCAAGAATGAGGTGAGCCTGCTTCCTGCTTGCTCCTCTGTCTTTGCCTTTTTTGCAAACTCTTCGTTCTGGTCTCCCCCTTCTCCTGTTCCTTTCTGAAGCTCACTTTTTTAAGAAATATCTTTTATTTATTTAAACTTTTTAGAGATTTATTTTATTTTTACTTTTATTGTTATTGCTTTATAATTCCATAGGCCTTGGGATTTTCCTTATTCCTTCCCAAACTCCCTCCTCACCACCACTGAGTTTCCGTATATTATTACTATAGTATAGTTCTCCGTAAATAGTCATATGTCCATCATTGTGGGCATGGACAATGGCAGAGTCCAGCATCCTATTGGCAAGATATAGTGAACAGTTTCATTGGGAGTCCATCTATACTCTGGAAGTAGAGATGCATATTGCATTGTATCCTCACATCTGGATATGATGGTCTCCATTACAGTTACTATACATCCCCTTAAATGAAAAGCCACAATATAAAATCAACAGGAAGAAAAATGGAAATTTATAAGCCATGAAGTTAAGTAACATGCTACTGGACATGATAGTCTCTATTCCACAGTTACTGTAAATCTTCCTTAAATGAAAAGACACAAATAAAATTAACATCAGGGAGAAAAAAGGAAACTAAAAGCATCATGAAGTTAAGTAATAAGCTACTGAATCACTAATGTGTCACTGAAGAAATGTAAAAGGAAATCAAGAATCTTCTTGAAGAAAATGATGCTACTGTATGCTCTATGAGTCAGCCAAGAATTTAATGAGAGTTTTGAAGAAATGAAGGAAAATTTTAAAAAATCAATATGCGTGAGATATAGTTTCCACTTATCTTTGTTGGTGAGATATGTCTAGTGGGCAACAAATAGATGGGCTTGTTTTTCTAATCCAGTCTACTAATCTGTGACATTTGATTGATGAGTTTAAGCTATTTACATTCAGGGTTAATATGAATGGGTGGTAATTTGGTCCTGTCTTTTTAGCAATGTGTTGTTAATTGATTTAGTCTTCTGTTGTGCTGAGCTGAGAGCAAACTCACTGAGCTCAGTGCATTGCTCTGGTCTCAAAGGGAAAATAATACCGAATTTTGCATCACATGGGCCCTCAGACCTAATGGTTAACAAGTTCTGGCAAGATTAGCACCTCCAACAATCTAGCTACATAGGACACTTGGTGTCTCCTTAATCCTGGGAACTGTTCTATCAGGACATGGGAGTAAGTTTGTACAGACAGTGGTGCAGCCTCAGCACGATATCACAGGAGGTAAAGAGTGGTATGGTGAATCAGGAGCTGGGGCAATGGAGACCATGGTAGAAATCTAACATAAGAACCCAGACCTGGAACTCACTGGAGGGCATGGCACAAGTGACTGCAAACATAGAGCTGTGTGCCAACCACAATACGTAAAATCAAATCGTAGACCTGTGGGTAACACAGCTTAGAAATCTGCCCCCAAGGAGAAGAATCTGACAACGCACAATGCCCAAGAGCAAAGAAGACAAAAGCACAATGAATACTACTGAAGACTCCCCTGCAAAGGCGCAAAAGCTTTTGCCAACCTCAGAATTAACTGAAGATTTATTTTATTTTTATTGGAAAGTCATATTTATAGAGAGAAGGAGAGACAAAAAGATCTTTCCGTTTTCTGGTTCACTCTTCAAGTGGCCACAATGGCTAGAGCTAAGCCAATCTGAAGTCAGAAACCAGGAGCTTCTTTCAGTTCTCCCACATGGGTATAGGGTCCCAAGGTTTTGGGCAATTCATTACTGCTTTCCCAGGCCACAAGCAGGGAGCTGGATGGGAAGTGGGGTAGCTGGATATGAACCAGCATCCATACGGGATCCTGGCCCATATAAGGCAAGGATTTAGTCACTGAACCATTGCACTGGGCCCAGAAATATCTTTTTAAAGTGTATTTTTAGTAGATAAAGTGTTAGTTTAAGAGTTTTCTTAAAACATTGATGCTTTGGGGCCCGGCGCGGTGGCGCAAGTGGTTAAGGTCCTCGCCTTGCACGCCCGGGATCCCATATGGGTGCCGGTTCTAATCCCGGCAGCCCCGCTTCCCTTCCAGCTCCCTGCCTGTGGCCCGGGAAAGCAGTCGAGGACGGCCCAAAGCTTTGGGAACCTGCACCCGCGTGGGAGACCCGGAAGAGGCTCCTGCTTCGGATCGGCATAGCATCGGCCCGTTGCGCTCACTTGGGGAGTGAATCATCGGACGGAAGATCTTCCTCTCTGTCTCTCCTCTCTGTATATCCACCTTTCCAATAAAAACATAATAAAAAAACAAATCTTTAAAACATTGATGCTTTGAAAATTGACTTTCACATAGGGAATCACTGTTTTGTAGAAAAACTTAGTTGAAACTTAAGCAGTCTTTTCCTTTTTTTCCTTTCTCTAAGACTTAGGGTTCATTGTGTATTGTCCTGACCCTGGGGTCTTTGAAATTCCCATTTTGCCAAGACAATTCCTATTTGGAGTTACTGTATAAACTACATAGAAATATCTTATGTAGACAATTTCTATTTTAAACTGTAGACTGGCGCTGGTGCCATATTTTGGCACTTTAATACTCTACTTGCAACACTGCTACCCTATGGTAGGTGTCAATTCAACTCTCAGCTTCCCTGTTCCTGATCTAACTCTGTGCTGATGGCCTGGGAAAGCAGTGGAGGGTGACTCAAGCCCTTGGGCTGCTGAACCCACGTGGGAGACCTGCGAGAAACTCCAGGTAAATGGCTTCACATCGACCCAGCTCCATCTGTTGCGGCCATTCCCCGAATGGAAAATCTCTCTGTCTTTCCTTTCTCTCTCTCTCTCTCTCTCTTTCTTTTTATTGGAAAGGCAGATTTACAGAGAAAAGGAGAGACAGAAAAAGATCCTGGTTCACTCCTCAAAGGGGTTCAATGGTTGGAACTGAGTCCATTTTTAGCCAAGAACCAGGACCTCTCTGGTTCTCACATGTGGGTGCAGGGTCCCAAGGCTTTGGGCTGGCCTCTGTTGCTTTCCCAGGCCACAAGAAGGGAGCTAGATAGAAAATGGAGCAGCCAGGACATGAACTGGTGCCCATATGGGATCCCGGTGCTAGGAGGTGATGGATTAGCCAATTGAATCATGGTGCCAGGCCCATCCTTCTCTTTCTTTCCTTCACTCTGTATTTCTGCCTTTCACATAAAAATAAATTATTTTATTAAAAAAAATGAAATGAAACAAAACTGTAGACTGGCTGTTAAGTGCACTTGGGAGTGATTGCCTGGCAGTTCACAGTAGGCAGCTTTCATGTTCCATTTCCATTTCGCATTTGGAGAAGAGACTAATTTGGGTTTTCTTTTCTTATTAAAAATTATTCATTGTTTTTTTTTTTTTTTTAATTTTAAAGAGACAGAGTGAGAAAATGAGCTCTCCAATCTGCTGGCTCAGTCCCCAAATGTTTGCAACAGCCATGGCTGGGCCAGACTGAAGCCAGGAACTGGGAAGTTGAACTAGGTCTCCCACATGAGTGCCAGAGACCCAAGCAAGTGAGCTATTATCTGACACCTCCCAGGCAGCTGGATGGGAAAGCACAGCTGGAAGTCAAACCCAGGCACTCTCGGGGGGGGGGGGGGTGGTTGCAGGTGTCGCCAGGGACATCTGGGCCACTGTCCTAAGGCCCCATCCCGTCAACCTGGGTTTTCCATACGGGTAGTTTCCCCATCATACTCAAAGTCCTGACCATGGAGGAAAAAGGAAGCTTCCTTTCACCCGGGCTTTCACAACCATTTTTATTGGAGAGACAGATTAACAGAGAGTGAGAAAGAGAAAAATGAAGAAAAGATCTTCCATCCTCTGGTTCACTTCCCAAATGGCCTTAACAGCTGGAGCTGAGCTGATCTGAAGCCAGGAGCCTCTTCTGGGTTTCCCACATAGGTGCAGGGTCCCAAGGCTTTGGGCCATCCTCTACTGCTTTCCAAGGCCATAAGCACAGAGCTGGATCTGAAATGGATTAGCCAGGACATGAACCAGCACCCACTTAGCATGCTGGTGCTTGCAGGGTGAGAATCAGCCAGTTGAGCCACTGCACCAGTCCCAATCTATAGCTGCTTATAGTATTACTGATCATGTGCTATTTCTTTCCATCTAAGATAAATATTAGTTTCTTTTCATAAAACTATGAATATATAACACATTCATATGCCTCAAAAATTAACCCAAGGTCAATGTTGTGTGCAGTGGTTGAACTGCTGCTTGTCATGCCCACATGTGGCATCCAACTATGCCACTTCCAATCCAGCTTTGCCACTGATGCACCTGCTGGGCAGCAGGTGCTGGCTCGGGGCCGTGGGTCCCTGCCATCTATGTGGAAGAGCAGTTCTGGTTTCTGAGCCCCAGTCCTTTGGTCATGGTGTTAAATCAAGGAGTGACCCAGTTTCTCTGTGTGTGTGTGTGTTCCTGTCTCTCTGCCTTCCAACTAAAATGCAAATAAGTTTTAAAAAGAATCAACTCACTATAAATAAACTCTTTTGTTTAAGAGTTTCTTAAGAAGTCTTTTCTTCCAAGCATGTCCTCTCACCCTGTAATTCCCGCATCCAATTTTGTTCATTTAACACATCTTTTTGGTGTTGCTGTATGCAAACCCAAGCACACAGGAAGCACTCCTGGCTAGTTTTCATTTCCCAGATCTCATATGGATGGCAAGGACCCATCCACCTGAGTCCTCCCTGTAGCTGCGCCAGGCCCCACATGAGCAGGAAGCTGGGGTTGGGAGCCAGAGGCAGCCCCGACCCAGGCACCCCTAATGGAACCCAGGTGTCCCAGCCACACACTCACACTGGTTTATATTGTGAAACATCTAATGAAAATGCAACATTGGAATATGGACTCTTACCCAGGGTTTGCTTTAATTTCTCAGATTGGAATGTCGGGCTTAGAGCTCAGTCAGTGTGTCCTGACCCTAGCCAGGTGCACAATTACCACAACTTCCAAGTAAATAAAAAATGGCACCATTTAGTCTGCCATTCAGAGGAGCCTCTGGCCCTTAAGATATGTATATAATTCAACAGATTTAAAGACAGTACTCTTTATTCAAGTGCAGATTAAGAATAGGTAGTATGTTTTTTGCAGAATGTTTTTCCAGCTAATATCAGCCTTGTATGTCACAATCATTTCATAATGATCATATTTAGTGAAACTGAACCACCAGGACGAATTTGCTGTTGGCTGGTTGCATGTGGTATGCTGTGCGTCCCTAATGGAATGTGTTCTTTTGTAGGTTAAAGCGTATTTAAAGAAAGAGTTTGAAAAGCACGGGGCAGTGGTGAATGAGAGCCACCACGATGTCTTGGTGGAAGATATTTTCGATAAAGAAGATGAAGACAGAGATGGGTTTATATCTGCTAGAGAATTCACATACCAACACGATGAGTTGTAGAGACTTCCACCCGTTTTCTGTAACAGCCGTCATGAAACAGAGGGCAAATTGCCCTTACATTTTTTAAGTGTTTTGTTCTTGTTTTTTCTTTTATATTTTTATATATATTGTTTCTATTATTTAAAGAACCCCTTCAGTTCGCTAAGTATGCATTTCTCTCTGTTAAGTTATTGGGAAGGAACAATTTGAGGAGAAGACCTCTGGGCCAGTTTCTGTCTTTCGCATGTGAAGTCTTGATTGAGTTTTTTACTTGCTAATGTAAGACACTGTGATGGAGGAACGGAGACCATGTTGTGGGGAAGAGGATTAAAGCTCTGCTTGGGGAGCCTCTGCCCCGAACTGTGTGTGCCTGGCTTACTACTCTGTGTTTGTGATCCAGCATCCTGGAAAGTAGGAACAGATGATGATGATGATGGAGGTTCCTGCCACCCACGTTCCAGCTCTGGCTTCTGGGGGCAGGCGTGATGGCTCAACTGACTAATCCTCTGCCTGCAAATGCCGGCATCCCATACGCGTGCCAGTTTAAAAAAAAAAAATCTGGCTGCTGCGGAAATTTGGGGAGTGAAACAGGGCGGGCAATGACTCCCTTTTTCTCTCTCTTGCCCCCCTGTCACTCCGCTCTTCAAATAAAACAATGAAACATTTAAAAATAAACACAGAAAGGTGTAACTGGGAACTCACTGCAGCAGGACACCAATCTCTCTGCTTTCCTCTGTCTTTCTCCTAGTTAGGTATGGATATGCTTCAAAAGCTTTTGCAAGAATGCAAAACTTGCTGTTTTCATGTTTTAATCAGGTGGTTTTTAAAGACCTTTGAGAAAAACGGTTGTTGGGCTTTACTAAGGAGACAGGTGTGTCTCTGAAGCTAGGAGCCAAGTTAATAACTTATAAACATGTGTTCATTAAAGCAGTCAGCCTTGGAAAAACTACATGGAGTTTAACTCCTAGAAACTGTTAGCCTCTTAGGCAAATAGCACGTATCATTCACATGCCTGTCTCTTTGTAATAAAGTGTATCAAAATCTTGTAGCAGAGGTAGTCATATGTACACTCAGGCTTTATTTTTGAGACTAATAGAATACCCAGACATTGCTCTGTAATGAATTAAGTCTGTGGCTGGCTGTTACACTACAAAAACATTGTGGGTCTAATGTGAGGTCAGTAAGCTAACCCCAAATTTCCCGTTACTGCTATCAAAAAATAAGGCCAACCTATAGCACCTACTATTGAATAGATACATATCCTTGGTTAAAAAAAAAATTGATGATTGTGGTGCTAGCTTGAGTCCTCACTGTTCAACTTTTTTTTTTTTTTAAATCGGCAAGTCAGATTTACAGAGAGCAGGAGAGAAAGATCTTCAATCTACTGGTTTACTCCCAAAGTAGCCACAATAGCCAGAGATGAGCTGATCCAAAGCAAGGAGCCAGGAGTTTCTTCTGGGTCTCCTATGTGGGTGCAGGGTCCCAAGGCTTTGGGTCATCCTCTGCTGCTTTCTCAGGTCACAGGCAAGGAGCTGGATGGGAAGTGAAACAGCCAGGACACAAACCGGCACCTATGTGGGATCCTGGCCAATGCAAAGCAAGGATGTAGCCACTGAGCCACTGCACCAGGCCTACTGCTCCACTTCTGATCTGATTCCCTGCTAGTGTGCTTGATTAAGTGGTGGATGCTGGCCCAAGTCCTTGGGTCTGTGCTCCCCGTGTAGGAGACTGGGATAAAGTTCCTGGTTCTTGGCTTCAGCCTGGACCAGCCCTGGCCATGACAGTCATTTGGGGGAATGAATCAGCAAAGGGAAGATCTATTCTCTCTCTCTCTGTCATTAGACATTTCAAATAAGTAAAATTTTAAATATGTATGTAGTTTTATCTTTAATATCTATTTTTTAAATCTCCAAATCTTTGCTTAATAAAAGTATGTTTTTATGGTTTACACATGAGATGGAGTACAATACCGTCTCATGCAGTTTGCTTGGATGTTCATGAAAGAAGCTGTCGATCTTACATGTGAGAAAATTGTCAAGGAGATTGGTTCTTAAGCCTGAGATCATTGGCTAACCTGTAGAACTAATTTTTTGTTTGTTTGCTTAAGATTTATGTGTTTCTATTTGAAAGGCAGATTTACCGAGAGAAGGAGAGAGGTCTTCACTACTGATTCCTTCCCCGATTGGCTGTAACAGCCAGACCTGAGCCGATCCGGGGCCAGGAGCTTCTTTTGGGTCTCCTGCTTCAGTGGTTCTCTCTGGCAGGCTGGACCTCTTGTGACCCAGGAATGACTCTGTTTTCACAGAACAATCTCGAGGTTAGCTCTCACCTGTCCCAGAAACACCAAATGAGGAGATTGCAGGTATGTGGCATGGTCCTTTCATTCGTGTTTGTCTTCTTTTTTGGTAAAGATTTATTTATTTTTATTGGAAATTCAGATTTACAGAGAGAAGGAGAAACAAAGAAAGATCTTGCATCTGCTGATTCACTCTCCAGTTGGCTGCAACAGCCAGAGCTAAGTCAATCTGAAGTCAGGAGCTAGGAGCTGCCTCTGGGTCTCACATGTGGGTACAGGGTCCCAAGGCCTTGGGCCATCCTTGACTGCTTTCCCAGGCCACAAGCAGGGAGCTGGATGGGAAGCAGGGCTGCCGGAACATGATTCAGCACCCATATGGGATCCCAGCGTGTTCAAGGCGAGGACTTTAGCTGCTAGACTACTGCACCGGGCCTGCAGGCTGCTTTTTCTGGATCCTGAGAGAGAGTTGGCTGTCCACACAGGCTGCTGTCACCCGTGACCTGTGGAAACATCCGTCACCAAAATGTCACGTTCGCGGTAAGGAGATCTAAGTGTCAGTAAAGAAAGTGTCTGCCCTTGCCCTCTGCTGAGCGTGGGAGGGTTAGAAGCGTGATCGAGAGGGCCCTTCTCGCTGTGACAGCGCAGTGTGTCGCTTGTCCTAAAGTGCCAGTATGCTTCACAGCCCTGATGCTCAGCTACAGCAAGAAAAGTTTAAAGAACTCTGATTATCCAGGAAGCATGCCGCTTCCTCTTGTGTGAATTTGTGTTCTCTCCAAAGTATTTAGGCACATGGATGTAAAAAACAAAACAAAACACTACAAAGTTTATTAGTTGCTTCTCTACATCTTCTGCCCTTTTTTGGTTCAGCCATACCTTTGCAGCCTTCCTTCACTGAGAATCATCAGACATGAGCTGTGAATTCACATGTATATAACTTGATTCAATACTTCCTGATGTGTGATAAACTGATATGAGTATGTTATGATCCTCTCAAAAATTAATTTGGGAAATAGCTGTTTTTATGAAAAATTTCTTTTAAATTTTTTTAAAAATTTATTTGAAAGGCAGAAAGAATATTCTGCCGGCTGACTCCCCAACTAATTCCAACAATCAGAGCCAGACTGAAGCCAGACACCCAGAATTCGGTCCTAGTCTCCCCTACGGGTGGCAGGGACCCCAGGTACGGGGGCCATCTCCTGCTGCCTTCCAGGGTGCACGTGCAGCAGAGGTGAGACTCAACCCTGGCACTCATAGGTGCTATGTGCCAAGCTGCACCTCAGGCACCCCCTGTTCTAAAGCTGCTCTAAATGCCCATTCATGTTCAATATACTTGTAAGAAAAGCTGTGATGTGGCTTAAAGTGTTTTGAAATGGGCATCAAACCATGAGTACTAAGGGCAGCAGTTTCATCGTGAATGTTTAATACTGGAGAGAGTATTTTTTGTTTGTGTGGGAAGAAGGTGGTAGCTATTAGCATCCTTGATGCGGTTTGGGAGTATGTTGTGTGAAACAGGTGGACATAATGGTGATTATTCCCACTGAGTAAACTGGTGCTCAAGAATGCCCGTGTGATTAAAGGAAATGCTGAATTTCCATAAAAACGACAAGAAGCAGTGATTTCAGATTCATATGGAAATGAATTTGTCTTTTCCTTCTTATAACACAGGGTATTGCTTACATATGTAATGCTTTAGATGTCACTATTGCTTGTCTTGCTTTCATTCAGGGTCTGGTACATTGGGATAATTAATTGTACCTGAACATGAATATTTATAGCCGGAGATTAAGTTGTGTGGAAATACATACCATTTCCTCCAGGGCTAGACGTATGACTGGATTTGAATTGCAAAAGGTTAGAATGCCAGTAATTGTCTTTCTGAAAATCTTTTCAATCAGGAGAGAGAAAAAAAGTGCTCAATTTTCCACAAAATTCCTCTTCTGTGTTTTGTTTTTCAGAATTATTTACAACCCACCCCTTCAGAAGAGTGTACAATTTTAGGAGAAAATACAATTTTCTATGTGTGTATTACATATAGTCTCCTAAAACATATTTAAATATGCTTATAATGTGTGTGCTATCTACGCATGTAATATAAGCTACATATATAAAACCTATTTAATAGACACCACACACACATGCGTGTAGTTTTGTGGGAGGCAGTGACGGAAATGCCTTGTTCCGAGCATACGCCTTTGCCTTGCTATGAAAATGCTGCTTGTCCACCTGCAGGCTGTCGTCCCTACCCTGACCGTACAGGCAGTTCCGCATAAAGCCACAATGGTCATTTCTTCTGCTGAGTATTGTTCAGGAAAGGGGCAAGAACACTGCCTGGCAGTCTTTTGTTTACTAGTTCTTTGTGACTAAGAAGGGTCCTGGTTTAAAATGGATGGCTTCAGCCACTGAGTCAGCTAGTAAGCCACACCAACATGAATTTCGTTCTATGGTGATTTAAAACAAATGGCATGAGATAGTTGCCTCAAGTTTGAGTCTGAAGATCCACAGTCAAGGGAGTCGTGTCCTCTTGGGCTGCAGTCGCAGCTGAATTCACTTCCACTGGGGCTTTCTTGGGGACTCACAAGTCATTGCATTAACTGAAGTTCCATATTGTAGGATGGAGAGGTTCCTCTTGAGTCAACAGTTACGCAGAAAAATTTCACAGGCAACACCGATTGAGGGGCAGTTCTCGTTGTTATACAGAGGGCAGGGAGGCCCTTTGGCACTTGGTTTTTCTCAGTCTTTTATGCTAATACAGCTCGTCTGATTTTTACCTCTGCTTGGGACATTGCAGCATTTGCCACATGTTGGTGCTGCTTTCCCATGATGACCGTATCTCTTGGAATGGGATAGCTCTTCTGTGCGGAGGGAATTCTGTTGAAGACCTTCCAGGTTTTTAAAATGGCTTGTTTAGCAGCTAAATCGAATTAAATGAAGAGTTAAGCTTGTAGAGCGTAACCAAGGCGTGGGAGCGCCAATCCGAGGTGTTTTGCCCTTAAATAAGAGGCAGCAAAACCAGGGAAGCGCCGAAGAGCTA